GTTTATAAATAAACTTCTCTTCAAGAGTTCACACTTAGCTGATGATTTATAAAAGCTTGTTTGGCATGCTGTCCCGGGAGAGAGCCCAGAGCTCAAGGGCTCCTTGAGCCCGGGGCTTCCTCCCGTTGGCAGAGCAAGAGGGGAGCCTGAGCTTGGTGGATCTTGGAACTTCCCAAAATGCAGTGATTAATCACTCGAGACAGCAGCTGCGTATTTAAGGAAAAACCCCACAAAAAGCAGGAGAATGGAGCTATAACTTTTGCGAGAGTTGGGGCTCGGAGCGACCCCTGCGGGGGTCAGAGCTTGGGGGTAGAGTGAAGATGGGAGAAGATAGGTAGCAGTGTGTAGAAGAGAGGATTCTGGGTAACTCTTGCGAGAGCTGGGGCTCGGAGCGGGTAGAGAGGTAGTTGAAAGTAGAGTGTAGAAGTTTAAGATTCTGGATTATTCCTGCTGGAATTGGAGCTTGAGGGGACCCCTGCGGGGGTCAGAGCTTGGAGGTAGAGTCTAGGTGGGAGAAGATAGGTAGCAGCATGAAGAAGAAAGGACTCTGGCCAAGTCCTGCAAGAGTTGGAGCTCAAAGGGGCTCCTGCGGGTGTCGGAGGTGGGGTCTAGACAGGAGAAGAAGGATCGCTAGAGGTAAAGTGTAGAAGAGTTTAGTTGGGAGTGGAGTGTAGAGAAGAAAAGGAACAAGAGGCTGAAAGCTAGGGTTATAAGGAAAAAGTTTGGAAAGGTTGGAAGAAGGGAACAAGCACAAATATACATACATACAAACAAAGCACATGCACAGAGAACATATGGATACAAACGTTAACATCTGTAAATAACTCTTGCGGAAGATGCTAACTGCAACGGCCCTTGTGGGAGTCTGTTGGCAAACATGTAAGGGTGCCATAGGGTGGACAAATGGGCTTCTACAGGGTTTTGATTTGGATGACTCTTGCGAGAGTCAAGGCTCTGTTAGACACCTTTGGGGGTTGGAGCCGTGTGAGGAGGGGCTTGGGGGTTGTTTAAAGCCTGTTGGGCTTTCTTGAGGTGGTATTTACTGAGGTGAATGTAAGATTTGAAAGCTTCGGAAGACCAGCGACCAAGGGTCTGGATCTGATGGTGGGAGAGGCCGTTAGAGGCTGCTGTAGTGGCTGCGCCAATCCTAAATGAGTGGCTGGAAAAGGGGCTCTGGGGGAAAGCCTGATAGGCGAAGGATTTCTTTAAGGTGTTTTTGAAACCAGAATCGAGATACTGGATGTTTAGCATCATCAGTAACAAGCGGGGCTAGAGGGTTACCCTCTTGAGATCTGCTTGGTTAAGGTAGGCTAGGAGGGTTTGAAACGGGCGGTTAGGTGAAGGTATATTGAAAATAAGGATAGAGTGTCTTTTCTGGAATTGATCTGTTTTGCGTTGTTTGATAAGGAAAGAGATGGTTTCCTTGTCTTGCAAAGCTAGATCTGAGATAGTGGGCTGGAGTAGAGGGTTAAATTTGGATGTAACGATTAATTCAGAACATCTAAGGAACCCAAAAATGCTAGATTGAACATTGCATCTAAGGTGCGGGCTGTATGGGAGGAAATGTAACCTTTACGGAGGGTGTAGATGCATGAGGTAAGAATTTTGAGTGTAATGGGTTGTCTAGCATGGTATGGAATTGTTTGACCCAATTCCATGCTGTGAGGTATGCATTGAGGGTTCTGGGAGCTATTGCTTGTAGGATAAGAGATAGAGAAGTTTGATGAGGATTATGAAGTGGGTGGTTTATGGCAATATCATTTCTGAATAAGGAGGGACAGGCGTTGGATGAGGGTCCGCCTTCCGGGGTCAGTTGCCAGAATTTCTGCAAAGAGAAACGAGAGAGAAAGTCAGCGATTTGGTTTTTGCAACCAGGTACATGTTCAGCAATCATGATAAATAGTTTTTTAGCAGATATCCAGATAAGGCGTCTTAAAAATGGCATAAGTGATTGGGAGTGGGAGCGCCCTTTGTTAATGCAATGCACTGTAGCTTCGTTATCGCAGTGAAAGAGAATGCTAAATGTAGACCATTCGTCCCCCCAAAGGATGGCTGCTGCGATGATAGGGTAGAGTTCAAAGAGGGCTGAAGAACATTGGTCTTTTGGAATGGAATTCAATTGGGGTGGCCATGTTGAGGCAAACCAGAGTCCTTTAAAGTAGCCACTGTAACCAATTGGAGGGGCAGCGTCTGTGTATAAGTTAATGTCAATAGGGGATGCTATCAAGTCGCTGTAAAAAAAGGAACAGCCGTTCCATTGTTAAAGGAAAGAGATCCATAAGCAGAGTTCATCGCGACTGGGTTTAGAAAGAAAAACTGTTTCTTCTAAACCATGAACTGTGGTGGATAGTTGAAGGAGGTGGGAAATGAAAGGAATGATGCGCATAGCAAAATTTAAATGGCAGAGAAGTGATAGGAGTTCTCGTTGTGTGCACATCTGTTTTTCAAGGAAAATTTGGTATAGAGAAATTATTCGATTGATTTTCTCTTTAGGAAGTGATGCTTGGAATTTATGCGAGTCTAGATTAATGCCCAGAAATTCGATTGAAGTACTGGGTCCTTCCGAGATCAGCGAAAACCTGCTGGGTGATCGCTAGGTGTTTGGCTGGAGGAGATGACGGGGGGAAATAAGAAAATCGTCTAGAAGGTGAATGAGGTATAGAATTCCGTAAATATTAGACAGAATTCAGCATAAAGCTTCTGACATCATGTCAAATATTTTTTGGGCTGCTTTTGCATTCAAAAAATAGAATTGATTGCGCCAATAAATGCCAAAAGGTGCCAGAAGTCTGGGTGGATTGGCATGATTTTAAAGGTAGAGGAAATTTCTATTTTGGCTAGCCAGATGTTACGACCGGCTATCTTAATGAGAGAGAGAGAGAGAGAGAGAGAGAGAGAGAGAGAGAGAGAGAGATCGCTTGATCAATGTCGTGGTAGTTAAGTGAATATTCGTCCAATGGGATTGTGCTGTTAATGCTAGGAAATGAGCAATTGTGTTGGGACGAAAGGTCGACTATAGGGCGTTTTTTGCCAGAAAATTGAGTAGCGACACCAATGGGGCTAATGCGTGAGATATTAAATGAAGAAGCCTTGAATGGTCCAATCATGAAGTTGTTGTCGATTTCTTTTTAATAAGATAATCGACGGTTTCAGGTTCGGAGGTCGCAGACTGCAGGTTAGGACAGATTAGATAAAGAGAAAAATAGAATATATACTTTTGTGAAGAGGAGTGTAATAGGTTGGATGAGGGTCAGCTTCTGGAGCCAGCAGTCATGATCTCTAAAATAGAAAAACAAAGAGAATCAGAAATTAAATCTTTGCAAAATAATACAAGTATGGCAGACATGAAAATTGTTTTAGTTGATATCCATGCGAGGCATCTTAATAAGGGCATGGGCGGCTGTAAATGGAAGCGCTTTTGTTAATGTATGGTCCGATAGCTTCATTGCTACAATGTGCAAGAATGGTAGGGGTGGGTGTTCGTCTCCCCACGGGATGGCAGATGGATGGAGAGCTGAGGATATGGGGTGTGGCTTGTCTGGTGGTCCTGGAAAACTGGTACCTCTTGAAGACTGAGAAGACTGAAGTGATAGTGAAGTTTAAATTTCTATTTATAACAGTCAAGTGGGAAGTTTGTTTCTTTGCCGTTTTCAAATCCGACTGACTTGCTATATAATCTTAAATGACGCTTTGTATATCAACACATGAGTCACTGGCGTATTAGAATTGGACTTCTGTGCTTGATGGGATAATGTTTTTTAATAGCTTGCTAATATTTACTGGTTGGGTAATAATCTTTTCAGAAGTTAAATGTCTATTGGATTTTTTATTTTTTTATAAATCTTAACTTAACTAAATTCACAAGCGTGTCTGGCCTATTCATTCATAAGGTCTTTGCAACAGAGTCAAGAGAGAGGGCAGGACCATCTCCAGTCTTTTAGCTCATTGGATGGTGACGCTTCTCTTTACAGCTATTGGCTTAAAGGAGTTTCAGTCAGGCCATGCAAAAGGTGCAAAAAGCCTGGCGGCCATATTGTTGATCAAATTCAACATGCTCTGCTGAACACATTCCAGCAAACAATCTGTTAAACAATGGATCACATGTGTACTGCTAGGAGAAGGTGAGGGTTATGTTTTATTGCAATAGCTTTGGAGTTTTGGCTTATATCTTGCTGGGAAATAAGGTTGAAGACACAGCAGATGCGCTGTGGAGGCTATTTGAAGTGGAAAGTTTTGGTGTTGTTGTTTAAGCTGTTGATGAAATTGTTTGAGTTGTAGTTGTTTGAAATGGTAGTAATAGTAGTTGTTGTTGCTGTAGCTTGTATATTGTAGCTTGTAGATTCAAGCTTTTAGATTGTATATTGTAGATTGTAGCTTGAAGCTTGTAGATTGAAGCATGTAGATTGAAGCTTTTGTAGCTTGTAGCTTTTGTAGCTTTTGGAGTTGATAAGCGGAGCAGAGCGTTCTTCCAAATGAAGATCCTGAAGATTGTAGCTTGTAGCTGCTTTGGTTGTCCATGCTCGTTTAGAGATGGTTCTTCAACGGAGCTAGCTACGGTGAAGCTGCGTCTTCCAAACATAGATAAAGTGAACTAAAAACTGTGGTTATAGTAGCTTAGGGCTCGTATGATTGGAAAATAGTAATTAGCAAATGCGAGACCGGCCGTGATAAATCATAAGCACGTGATCCTCTCGAAATTAGTTTATGAATAAACTTCACTTTAAGTCTGAGGTCAGCTCTGAATAGCCTGCTGGCTGTCTGGCATGCAACTCCTGTCTCTATCCTTTTCTCTGCATACTACTTTGAAAATTGTCTGTACAGTATGACACAGTTGGCAACGCATATGATATATAAGTATAATTGATGTTGTTTTTAAATTGTAAGCAGAGTGGCCAACAAACTCTTTGCAAGTGTTGAAGCTGGCTTCTGCTTATGAAACTGCAAGCTATGTTCTGACTTCAGCTCTTTTTCATTTGATACAATGGTCATTTCCGTGTAGCAGTCGATTCTGTTCCCCTCGGAATGTCTGTTCCCCTTTACGCAATTAAACTACATGGTTTGCGTTGTTGCCGAGGCACCATACGTATGATCGCAAACAACGTACCCGGGAAGCACAACTGGATGTACGGGAAGCAGAGTGGTTCTTAAAGTTCGTATTTTTCGCGAATCTGAAAATTAAGTTTCTCAACGTAATCTAGAAGGTTTTCCCTTATTCCTTAAGCGGAATTTTATTTTAGACAGCATGTTTGCCATACACAGGTTTACATTTTAGAGACAAATTTACAGCAGGTATACCATAGCAATTTCCAAAGAGATAAACAAGAAAATAAACGTTTTTACATTTTCATTTTTTTATTTACAGGAAAAGCATTTGTAGTCTGCTTCTGTTGCTGGATTATTAACGCAGGCCACGTGGAACCATCGCCCACATTGGTCACAGGAAATCTAAAAATAGAGAGGGGGTGTTATTCAATCATATGCTATGATTAAAAAAATAAATAAATAAAACTTGCTTACAATGCATTTACAAAAAAAAAAGACAAATAATGTTGTTACCCAGAGAACATTCTCAGATTGATCAAATGTCTCTGCCTCCCCACAAAAGTGACACAGGTCACTTAGATCATCTATGAGATAAAATGAGCTGTTTAAATTTCTTTTGTGAATTTTAAGTTAGTTCTGAAAATGCATTAACGCACTGAAAATTTTCAAGTTAAAAACGAATAAAAACATACCAGATTGGTCAAGAAGTGTTGATGCAATCTCTAATCGGAGTCGTTTCACTTCTTGTGGTGCACTGCAGAAGTCAATTTCATTCTCTATAAGGATGTATTCTGCAAACTGGACAAAAACAAAAATAAATAAACAATCCAAATTTTATTAATATTTCATATGGTCAATGACACATACCTTCAACGCAAACACACCACATGATGTTCCATCTTTTTGATGTGGGTGAGGCAGTGTTTCACACACCCAATGTGAAACTGGAAGTTTCTTCATAATTGCGCTGCAAAAAGGTTTTTTTTTTTTTTTTTTTTTCTGTCTGTCTGTCAGTTAACTTCCAATATCAGATTATGCCGAATTATAATACCTTGCCATTTCCAAACACTTCTTTTTCTTCACCTCAGTCTCTCCAAGAGAATCAAGAAGAAGAGCTTTTCTTTGGGCTGGGTATATAGCCTAGATTTAACAAAAAATAAAAAACTTGAGAATAGGGAAAGTTTCAAGAAGAGTCCGTTTTCAAATCAGAAGCATTTACCATGAAAAACCAGTGGTGACATTCATTGACAATACCCAACAACACATCATATTTTGCTGGGTCCACCTAAATATAAATGAACACAATATTAGACAACTATATAACTATATATAATTACACAACTTGCTAAAAGCATGCAAGACCCATTTTGTTATTAAATTTTACACATGGTCAGAAAGAAAAAAAACTAAAATATTATACCTGAAAATCAGAAATAAGCAAATGAGAAACAATCCATTAAGATCTCATAACAAGTTTGAAAGAAATTATTTAAATCTTACCCATTTATCAATATCCACCCCCATTCCAGGCCAGTAAAATCTGGCTGAAATGGCAAGTTTTGTTTTCTCCGTTCCACAGTGTGCTCCATGGGAGCTTGCATGAAAATCTTGAAAAATTTCATTTGCTTCATTTTCCCCAACAACCACTTGTTTTTTTAACTCCACGTCATTTTTTTTTTTGAAAGGTGGTAAAGTTTTCCATCTATTCAAACAGCATTATTGTTATTTAATTCTTTTATGAATAAATATTTTTAAATCTTAACTCAAAAGTACTTTGCTTACCATCAATTTGGAAGTTGGAAGAACGCCTGCGTATAATATATTTTTGCTCCTTCTTTATACCAACAGGGTATGTGCCTTGCTGTTTATAGTTCATAATTTGTTCATACATTTTTGGATTCATTATTGTTGTTTGAGTCAGAGAGTAACCACCAGCAATACAAATTGGTGTGACTATCAAGTGACAATGTGTTATGGCCATGTTCCCAATTTATAGCTTCACTGATAATTCATTAATTGAATAATTAATTGTAAACAATTATTATAACAAATATTATATATGTACGCGCGCACGCACACAAACACTGGGGCACATACTGGGACACATGTGTCTAGAGGACTAACATAACTGTAGGCCTACATGCAATATTAAATTAGGGTGCATAAACTAAGACATTAAAAAAAGCTAAAAATGCAAACAAGAACCACAGGTAATATGTAATGGAAGTGTAAGATTGATTTTATTGCGCTACTTTGACACTGCAAGACATAAAAAGCATTGCCAACACTTTTGTCCCTTTTCGCTTTCTGTACATCCAGTTGTGTTTGGGTGTGTCCGCATACGCTGTTAGCGGATACGCTTCGTAGAGGGGGAACTGGAATTCCAGAAGGGAACAGAATCGACTGCTACACCGGGTTGAAACTCTCAGTTCCCAAACAATTTTGGTTCAACAGCTTCAATATCCAGGGGGAGTATCAGCTTCAATGTTAACTCATCCTGGCCAATATTTGATGTCAAACTGGAAGTCAGACAGCTCTGCAATCCATTGATGGGCCACCACATTCAGCTTAGCCATGCTCATCACTTACACCAGCAGTTCTTGTCAGTGCACATTGTAAAGTGCTGGGCATAAAAAATACTTCTCTTAAGTTTTCACAGACTCCCCACTTCAAGGCCAGGAACTCAAGCTTACCGATGTGCAACCAATAATTTCTCTCAGCCTTTGTCTGTGTCTTGGACCCTGGAGTTTGCTGAACAGAAGTTTAAGGTAGTCTGCAAATGACTGCAGTGTATGCCCTATGGACTGGAGTATTGTTCTGAAAGGGAAATAGACATCTGCAAAGTCAGGATGCATCCCATATTGTTTCAGTATTTACATACTTTGTTATGTGTGTTGTCTGACGAGTAATCCTCAATCTGTGCTCCATGTATCTAGAACCCATGGGGATGGATGTATGGTAGACCTACCATTGAAAATGTATTACTGTGACCTACCCACTGAGGTCATTCAGAGTGATGTGGAGGTGCATTTTCATCACTGTGTTGAACTGCTTATCGTGTCAATAGCTACGTCTCCATCCACCTATTTTATGCACATGTTGGTTGATCGGTTGTTGAAAACTCAAAGATGCGCATACATTTTGAAAAAGCGCATAAAAAATGTATGCGCATAACTGAGTAGGATAAACTTTTTATTCGATAAGTAAAGATGCGCATGAACTATGATGGAAACACCTTTACTGAACAAATTTCAGTATGTGCATTAAAAAAAGATGATGTGATTTTTGTGAGGGATAATGTGATGATAAAAATGTGTGTGAATAGATAAACCAGCAGGCTGACCGCATTATAAAACATCTGAAATGTTGTTTTGGTCATTCTAAAATGTCTTAACCATTTCAGTATTGGTGTTTTTATATTATTAATGACCTCCAGAACTGTCAATAGCATCTGTGCTTTATGTCTCAAGCATGCACTCATTGGGTGTCAACATTCGTCTTTTTAGCTGCAAGTCATTTATTAAAAAAAGAAAAAACTCACGCAGCTTCTCCTACAGCAGCAAATTTAGTTTTTACTGTTGATATTTGGGGATGTGTTAGTTAATCAATGTAAAGTGATAGTTAAACAGGAAGTGATGGTTTTGTTTTCCGTGACTCATTGGATGGAAATGCTGCTTCATTCACATGTCTTTTATGCATCATTCTAGTTTTTCGATGAAGTAAATTCGCAATTTTGGATGGAAACAAAGCTACTGTCACATTTTGACCATTTCTCCTGTCAAGTTCTTCATACTCTACCAGCATTCTTTCAAATACCCATATACGGCTCGTGCACACCGGGACGCTTTTGTTTACGTTTATTGTAAGCGTTTTTCAAGAAGTTTTTCCAGATTCAAACTAGGGATGCTCAAAATAATCGATTAACCATTAACCGAAAGGGTGCGTTTGTGACCGATTAATGCTATCAGTTAAACGATTAAAATTATTATTTTATATATTTTTAGTTTGAATGCATAAGGGGCCGATTGAATGCGCCTTTGCGTTAAGAGGGGCATCTTTTGCACGTGCGGCTCATCCCAGAGCAGCAGTTTGTGTTGTCAAGACAACTACAGAGAACTTTTAAAGAGCTTGGTTTTCGCTACATTCATTCTTTCATAGCGGGGAACAAAATGCATCCCGCCACGGCTACATTACCCATTCAAAACATTCAGTTATTGTTGTTGTTGTTGTTTTTAATAGCGGATTATAATAGCATCAAAACGCATGGAAAGGTAAGTGGATTATAACAGCGCAAACTTTTCTGTAACCGTATAGTGCTGTGCACTATTGTTTAATCCTTTGGGGTTACGTGCTGACTGACTGACAGTTGCGCGATGCGTGAGCCCAGCAAACACGCAGAAGCTTTCAGTTAAGATGAACACAGTTTCTATAGTTATACTTTATTTAAAGATAAAGTATGACTCTGTATATCTCTGTAATCACTCTATCTTGTTGGAGTTTATAGCCGTTTCGCTTTACTTCAGGACGCATTAATGCCGCTCTAAAGGTCTAATCGCTGTTTTAAGTTATCCAGAGCTGGATGAATGTACAAATGCTGAATATCACAATATTATTAAATATTACAATTGTAACAACATAGACAGCAACACTTTTGCACAATCGATACCCAGCTGATGCAGTCGTTTCATAAGAGCACCGCACTTTCTTCTCTTTTTTTTTTCCTTGTCAACATAAAGTCAGTGAGGTGCGCCTTGCATTTTTGGAATAAAAAAAAAGCACGTTAGCTGTGGCTGGCCACTTGTTCAACTACAAGACATACTTAACTTTGCGCGACGATAACGTATAACCCGTGCCTACAGACACATTTGCCAAAGAAGCAAAATGGAAGAAGAATATTGCTGTTTGAAATAGACGTGTTGATGCCAAAAAAAGCATTGATGTTGACCTGGATCTGCGTCATAAACGCAACAAATAGGCTTTACCTTTTATTTTACAGCTTATAAAGCATGTATGCACATTAATGCAATATCATATTTAAACAACAAAACTGTTTACAAAAAGTCTACATATGTGCGTGTGTTGTTGTATTTTCATCACGCACCGCACGCTTGAACCGCGAGGGAGAGAAAGGAAACCATACATCAGGATATATTCTTTAAAATAATGATTTCTATTAAAAATGTAAAAAGGTTTTGTGATTATAATAATAACAGCGGGGCATTAAATAAATGCATATTTTCCATGGAGCGGGCAATTTGAGGAAGTCAGCTGTTTTTTTTTCTTCCGACAAATAAAAATAGCTGACTTCCTCAAATTGCCCGCTCCATGGAAAATATGCATTTATTTAATGCCCCGCTGTTATTATTATAATATGTGCCGGTTATTAAAAAGAATCAGTCAGTATTTTCGTTTTGTAATATAAATTAATTATTTAAGTGAAAATAATTTAGGGCAGTCCTATTTATTTTATTTATTTTATTTAGTTTATTCTGTTTTTCTGTGCTAAACACTGCAGGTGCGTGAAATGCTCTGTTGTTGTGTTCTGTTATTAATATGCTAGCATATAAAAATAAATCAGTATTTTAACATGCAATATTTACTTTGTCGGACACAAAATAGTCAGTTTTATTTGTTTAATATAAAATTAATAGTAATCTGACCAGTTAACCGTTAATAACCGATTAATGAGCGGCGGTTGTCGGTTAGCAAAATTAACCGAAATGAGCATCCCTCATTCAAACCCAAGTGATTTTCACTGGGGTCAAGCAGTGGAGTATGCAAAATCACTCCTTGACGTTAGATGGCGCCAAACAACTTTAAGCTTCTGACACCCACTTGTAACACAGAAGAAGTTGACACGCTTGTTGTTATGGATGGTTCAAGTAGCAGCTCCAGCTCTAGCGATGAAGAAATGATTATTGTTTACAAGTGCAATAATCAGCTTCATGTTTATATCGCCTCTGGGCATCTTTTTCAATGTGCGCTCGCATTGACAGTTTTGCACTTGAGCGCCTGTAAGTTTACTGTTTACTGTAACTTCAGCAGCTCCGTGCAAGGCAATGTCACGTTAAGCGTGATCAAAACAGGAAACAAAAAAGTGCTGATCCAAGTGGAGATTTATTTACAGTGCATCAACAGAGAAACAAGGAGATCAAAAAACAAAGTAGCAAATAAACAACACAACAAGAAACTAAATCAGAGACAAGGCTCAGGAAAAACAAACTCGAAAAACTAGACTACTGGAAAGCAGACAATAAGACAAATAAAACACAAACTAGACTATTGCAAAATACAAGAACAAGATCAGAATAACAAACTCGGTAGACAAGACTTGCTGGAATAACTCGGACAAGAAAGACAACGACGCCATGACAAACAGTGGTGGCATGATGGAATATATAGTCCAGATTATCAACAGAAAACAGAGACAGCTGTGAATACAATCAGTGTATATGTTCTGGTGTATGGGCGTGGTATGTATGGATTTGTAGTCTCTTTTGGGCGCTGTAGTTTCTACTAGGTGTCCGATGAACTACAGCGCCCTCAGGTGGTCACTGACCCAGTCATGACAGACCCAGTCGTGACAGGGAACAAAAGTGCCAACCGGATTGGTGGTAAAGGTTTTGACAGCACGTCAAAACCAAAAAATGAGCATGAAGCGTTTCTTTAAAAAATTACGCTTTTACGACTTCCCTTTTGGTGTGCACGATCACATTACGCCCTTTATTTAGTCACGAGGCATTAAACATTGACTAAAAAGCTAAAAACGTCTTGGTGTGCACAGGCCTTAAGAGTGAAATCTAAGCAATTTCAAAATATAGAAACTAATAAAAACTAGTAAATCTGCCTCTAATGCTGCGTTCACACCAGACGCGGAACGTGCATCAAGCGTGAGTGATTTACATGTTAAGTCAATGCAAACGCATTGCCTGGGGGAAATTCTCCTTGAAGCAAATTTGACACGCAAATGAAGCGGATTTGACGCGTGAATGAAGCGAGTAAACTCAAATGTTGAAGCAGCTATTTACACGCGAATAGCGCAATTTATCCGTGTGTTTTACATCTGGTGTAAACACGGCATTAAACTAATCAAAAGTGACTGAATTTAAAAACAAAAAGTCAAAGTGAAAAAAAAACTAAACTAAAACTAATGAAAAATTCTAAACTATTAAGTGAAGTTTATTTCTAAACTAATTTCGAGAGGATCACGTGCTTATGATTGCTAGCGGCTGGATCCGCATTATCCAATTCACCACGCTCCAATCAGATGACTCCTAAACTACTACAAAT